AAGATAAACTCCAAAACACTGAATGCGACGGGATGAAGCCAAAAATTTGTCAAAGTTAGAATTGCTGTGCCCCTTTTTTGTGACGGAAAGGAAATTGATGAACTCCAAACCACTGACACGGCAAATAATTGGGAATCTTCCAAGCCGAACAATCCTCATACTTCGACTAGCTTCCACAATTCAAGATAGCAGACAGTTAGAAAATGGAAACCTTGTTGAGAAAAAGGCCGGAATCAAAGAGAAAAAAAACTTCAATGAAGTGTTCCGGAAGTGAGGCAGAGCGATCACTCGGAGAGTTTCGGCTCTCCCAGAATGGAACACTGAAACCTGTTAGTGTAACAACTTTAAGCCGTGGCCTCGGGATCGACGCGGCTTGGTTCGGGTCCGGATGACGGGGATCTTTCTGGGACGCTCCTCCCGATTGCTGAGGTGGCCGATCACGGTATTTCGATTGGGACAAGGCCACCATTTCTGTCGAGAGAGAACTCCCACCTGCGCCTTTGGTGGACGACCTTCGCCCTTGCACCTGCACCAAGGTCGGGTCGGGGAGCTCGACCCAACCCCTCCGACGTTCAAGTTAGTTGATAGCCTTAGGGGGTTTTTTTTGTTGTCTCCGTTCACTCTCCCTTTTTCCCGGAGCACGAGGGTTTTTATAGCGAGGATTATCGTTGTTTGATGTGCCTGCCCACTGGGAGCAGGATCGTACTTCTGGTGGCGTCTGACATTGCCGTTGGCGTGGCGTGGGGGATCGAGCTTGAGCAGGGTGGTTAATGTGCCTTGGTAGGCATTCCGATCCGCTTTGACCGGGTGCCTCATCAGGTCAACAGAGGCGTGAGGCGTCATTTGGGGCAACTGATTTCACGCGAGTCTTATCGCAATTATTACCCTCATCAAAACCCTAGATGGTTCCACCTCTTGCACCCCGCGACAAATCTGGATTGAAAGGACCGAGAATGACGGAGAAGAGATCGAGACATCACCGATTTGACGAGCTTCCATCATTTCACGACCGTTTGAATCCGTAGGCCGCTATGAGCATAAAACCACCCATTAATTTCAGTAGATTTGTATTGACAATTTTTTTACCATTTATAATTATATTTTAATAATTTTTAAGATATTTATCTATATATATATATATATATATTTCTAATGACCAGTGAAAAACAACATCCAACGATATCAAATGAACATAAATATTCTTCTCATAATGATGGGCAACTACTCAATATCGTTGGATAATTCTGACAGAATTCGAAGGGAAATCCTTAGACATTTATTCAGAGCTTCTAAAGTATGTTTATAATTTACATTGTCTACGAAGTATTTTCGAAAATGTTTACTTGTGGATCTGAGTGATGTGTTTTTTCTAACCCGTTTTCTCTTTTATAAATCCTAAGGAACCATAGGAGGCTTCGGGGAGACCTTCGTGGACAGACACGTAAGAGTACCATACGACTTAGGCAAAACCATCTAAATCCATGATAAAATAGCATCAAATACACGAAGTGATAGAGAGTAAAATCAATATAACTAGATTCTGATAAATATAATAAAGAGGTGTGAGAACAATAATATAATTAATAATAAAATAATAAAAATAATATTTTATTATTATTTTTATTATGTATAGCAAATATCTAAAGGTACAAATATAACCAAAAGTCAAAATTGCACGTGGAGGCTTACAATTTTTTAAATTAATTTTCTCTTATTCAAATTCCAAATAAAGTTATCAAACTCCCAAGTGTACTTGTGAACTCAGACAAACTCGACTCGACATCCAGGAAAGAAGGCCTCATCCTCTACCTTGCTCCCTTTGGTCATCTCTTAGATTGACATCAAAGACAAATCCATTTTGTATTCATAAAATCCGATTTTTCGACCAACATATGAAACACACGCATGCAAGATATATAAAAGGAGTATCGAATCATGTAAATCTTATATATATATATATATTGATTAGTAATATATGAGACTTTTCTTTTCGTTTCCATGTATTCTCTCCTTAATACTTTCATTATTTTCGTTAGTAATCAAATACAATGTACCTAAATATGAGAGAAAGGATAAAAAAGGAAAAGAAGACGACCGATCTCACAGTCACATAGGCCATTTCCAAACGCGAAACTAGGAAGACATATTACAATCCAAGTCAAACTTGGTCTTTTACCAAACAAAAAGTCAAAATCAAGGCTGGTAAACAAATCCTCTCTAGTCTTTAAAATCTGGTCTTAGAAGTTGCAATTCGATGCGTAACGAGGTGTCTTTCTTAACTGTTATCGCAGTGCCGGGTCAATGTATACATTCTCCATTTCTACGTTGCCTGTTTCTGCGACACAGTTTGCATGCTTATCATCTTCGCCCCGCACCGCAGGATTCTCACCTCAAACTTCCCATTCTACAACTATCATGGAAGCTGCACGAGGAAGACTTAATGTTGTCGTAGCGTATGCGTTCCTCGTAAGTTGTATTACTACAGCGAATGCATGACGTCGCATCTCCGTGGTTTTGGAAGTCTATATATTGGCTTTGCACTTTGGAACCTTTCACTGCAACGAACCGAGATCTCCAAACTAATGGCTTGGGGTTGGATAGTGGGCTCAACAAGCCTCTCGATGGCTTACCCTGAAATCCTCATCTCCGTGGCTTTCTTACTTTCCTTCTTCTTCTTCTTCTCCTCCTACCGCTTGCGGAGGCATAAGCTTCCGTTGAATTTGCCTGTTGTCGGCATGGTTCCAGATTTATTCTCTCATATCAGCCGGGTCCATGATTATGCGGCCGAGTTCCTGGCCGCGGCCAACTGGACCTTCGTGTTCAAAGGTCCGTGGTTGTCGGGCATGGACATGACGATCACATGCGACCCGGATAACGTGAACTATGTCTTCGTTACGAGGTCGTCCAACTATCCCAAGGGCGAGGAGTTCGCCGAGATGTTCGACATCTTCGGCGACAGCTTGCTCAACAGCGACGGCGAGGCATGGAGGAGCCAGAGGAAGATGATCCACAGCTTGATGAGCAACAGGAGGTTCCGCTCTTACGAGCTCAAGGCTAACCGTGACAAGGTGGAGAAGCGGCTCATTCCTCTTCTGCAGGGCGTGGCGGAGCAGAACAAGGTGGTGGACTTGCAGGACGTGTTCTTGCGGCTGACCTTCGATACTGCTTGCTCCTTGATCCTCGGCGTGGATCCCGGATGCCTCGCCGACGACTTCTCGGATGTGCCATTCGCCAAGGCCTTGGGAGACGCCGAGGAGGTGATCTTTCTGCGGCACATCGTTCCCAAGTTCTGGTGGAAGGCGCTGCGGTGGCTAGGAGTCGGTGAAGAGAAGAAGCTGGCGATGGCGCACAGGGTGATGGACGATTTCGCGACAAGCACGATCACGAGGAGGAAAGAGAGCATCAGCAAAGAGATCAGATCCCGCGAAGACGGCGAAGACGATGAGGAAGCAGCAGCCGACCTGTTAACTGTTTACATGCATCAGCCGACCGTGAGAGAGAAGAACGCACTGGAGTTCGACAAGTTCATCAAGAACAATGCACTGAACCTACTGCTCGCGGGGAGAGACACCACCGCGGCCACGCTCACGTGGTTCTTTTGGCTGCTCTCCATGCACCCACACGCGGAGCACGAGATCCTCGAGGAGCTGAGACGACACTGGCCCGCGGCACCGGACGAAACCCCGAACCCTAACACGCCGTTCGACAGGGACGGGCTTGGGAAGCTCGTGTACTTGCACGCGGCCCTGTGCGAGTGTTTGAGGCTCTACCCACCCATCCACGCTCAAAGCAGGGAAGTGGCGAAGCCGGACGTGCTCCCCAGCGGCGAGAAGGTTCGTCCCGGAACGCTGCTCGTCTTCCACGCGTACTCCATGGGAAGAATGGAGGGACTATGGGGGAAGGACTGCATGGAGTTCAAGCCCGAGAGATGGATCACGGAGAGTGGAGACCTGAGGCACGAACCTGCCCACAAGTTCTTCGCCTTCAGCTGTGGCTCCAGGATCTGTCAGGGCAAGGATATGGCTTTCATTCATATGAAGACTGTGGCGGCCGCCATGCTCCGTAACTTTCGCTTTGAGGTGGTGGAAGGACATGTGGTGGAACCGAAGCTTTCCATCATACTCCACATGAAGAATGGTCTGATGGTGAAGGTGTGTAAGAGGGAAAGGAGCGCTGTTACTGTATGAAGATTAGAATTGTGGCACTTAATTTCGTTGGTTGCTAATATATTACGTTTATTGAGACTATTTGCGGTCAACAATATGTCCTCTCACATGGCTAATTAGAGCGTTGACCGAAGTCATAATCGGTTCCCCATGTTGGTGCACTGCCGCACAGCAGACGTCTTCCACACGCACCTTACCGACCTCGTTATTGGAAAACACAGTGGGATCCGCAACTGGGCCCCACCGAAGTATTGCTAATCAGTGCGATGCATTAGTATTGCTGCATCAAATGTTAGCGAGTCGTACGCGTTTCTTGTCTATTCTTTATTCCACCGGTTTCTCTCGCGTCTCCCTCACTCCTACTCTGCCGCCGCACTTTACTCATTCTGCGTTGTCATCGCCAGCGATCATCCGGTGGCCGTTCGTCGGAAGAAGAAACAAGAGAGAGGGGAGATTGTTGCTCTATGGCGGATTGGGCGCCGGTGGTAGTTGGGGTGGTGCTATTCGTGCTGCTGTCGCCGGGGCTCGTCCTGGAGGCGCCCGGCACGCACCGGGCGGTGGACTTCGGCAGCATGCGAACCAACGGAAAGGCCGTCGTCCTCCACACACTCGTCTTCTTCGCCCTCTACTCCGTCATCATCGTCGCCCTCCGCCTCCATATCTACACCGGCTGAATCGACGCATCCGGCCGTCCTCTCGTTGTTTCTTGTGCTCGCTCTAGGGTTTCCAGGTCCTCTCACAACTCAAGTTACTGCTTTATGTAGTCTATCCCTCAAGATTAGAAGGGAATCGAAGTGGTGTTGCTTCGCTTTACTATGCTCCAAAACCTAATCTAGTTGGAATTTGCAAGGGGATTTCGATGCTTTGCTTACATTTGCTGCAAAATATTCTTTTTCTTGTGTCTGTGTCATCTTGATCTGATCTACAGCCATATAATATGGGTGCTCAGAACCCTAGAATTTTAAGAGCTCTCTTCCCTTTGGGTGGAGTTGTTCTGATAGCCACCACACCTCTTTCATTGATGCACACATACTGCTCTGTATCAAGGATTGCAAATTACAGAGTGAGAGGACAAAGTATGAGCGATTTATTATCAGTTACAGATGCAACATTTGGTGGTGTCTCCCTTAAGAAACACACATGTCAGACGAAAACAATAACATTCTCTGTGTATCAATCGTTCGGGTAAATGCCAAAGAGAGCACCGCCAAGCCGGTGGTGGAAAGCTCCAGGGATGGAGGAGAAGGAAATCAGCTCTCCATCTTTTGATCAAGCTGCGTGGATGTGTATGCCGATGGCAATGACCAAGATGGTTAGCAAGCAAAAGAAGAGGATGCTGTGAACAAGAATCGAGATGCCGCTGGTACTCATGTTCCCAAACTCCACCACTCGAGACCTTGCGGGCAGCTGGAACAGGAGGCCCGGAGACAGCAGGATGAAGAGGATCACTGCGACGATCACCGGCCCCCAGTCGGTGGACATCTTCCCTTCTCTTGGTCTGCCTGCGACACTCGGATGATTGGATCGATCAGCTGCAGATGGAGCTTATAACATGTGTTGTGGAAATGGTGGCGGAGAGGAGGAAGGAATTCATGGCATGCTTAAGGACTAAGAAATGGCTGGGGAGAAGCAAAAGGGAAGGAAGATGTAATGGAAGAGCATGCTTTTGAGATCATGCCAACCCTGCACTTTACATACTGCTTTAGGCCTGAGAGGAGAGGAAGAGATCTGGAGACTTGGAAGGCAGGTCAGTTTCTTCACAAGAAAACATGGGTTAGTGATTCCTAGCTTGGCTCTGCTTCTATCATGCACAGGAATGAATTATGCTCATAAGTAGATTGATGGAGTCACTCTCAAGGGAGATGTTGGGATTATCTTATCATGTAGCAACAGGTTGGCATGAACTGAAAGTTCAACTAAGAATTTGTGGCTGGTAGTCTTTTCCTAACAAAACATTGAGAAGTGCAAAGCAAAAGCATCAGATGACAAACAATGTGTTGGAAGCCGGAGAGGAGAGGATCAATATATACAGTCTTATCTTTAAATATTTTAACGAGACTTTCTAATCATATTGTCTCGGTTATACTAAGATTTGTCTTCTTCTAACAAGTAAAATCTGTAGGTGTTGGCTATTGATACTGCATGATTATTTTCTATAGAAGAAAATTAATCTGTAGGTGTTGGCTATTGATAACTTTATGGTTCGTTTGTTAGAAGAAAATTAATCTCTAATGAGTGGCAATACTTTTGTTGCATAATTATGGAGATTGCAATGACACAAGTGGGAGTCTGTCTAGTGGGGTCCATTGGCCTCCATGATGTGCTTACTTTGGAGTACTTAATGGCATAAGCGTCAGAAACATGTCTTTTATGGACTTCCCGGTAATACCAACATAATATGATACGCTATTCCTCAGTATTGCTTATTTGTCGGGAGAGTTCATAAACAAATCAAGATGGCTGTCATTTCTTGTATTAGTTATCCGTCGGAGAGTTTATAAAAAGTTAAAAGAGTATTTAAATTTTTATTTATAATTTTTGTTAAAAGAATTTATATCTTTCTTTAACTCTAATTATATCATTAATAATAATTATTCATCTCTTTTAATTATCACGTCGATAAGTCTCTTCAAAGTATGTTCATATTATTTTTATATTATTAAATTAAATTATTTTTTTATTAAAGTCATACTTAATTATTTATGATTAAAAATATTTTTTTAATTTTAATAAATCTACACATTTAAAGAGTAAAAATATGATGGAAAGATCAATGAATGTATTATTCGTAGAGTAAAAATAGGTTGATTAAGATAACGACAAATGTGTCTTGTGTGATCATCAGATATTCTTGAGATTAAAAGAAAAATTTTATAGGATAATTATGAGACTAATAATATTTTATGAATAAAAGTGTTGGGTAGTTAAAAAATAATATGTATAAAAAAATTGAGTTGTCAAGATAAGAATATTAAGATGGATGCGTGGAGTTATAAGAAAAGATAAAAAAATATTTTTATTCATGAATAATTATGTATTACTTCGATAGAGGATAAAATTAAAAAAAAATCGTTTAAAATGATATGAGTATGTGCTTTGGAAACCTTCAACTGTACTAATAAATAAAATAAAATAATTAATGCTAGTAGTATGAGAGAGATAAAAAAAATCTAAAAAGACTATAATAGAAATTATAAGTAAATATTTAAGTACATTAAATTTAACTAAACATATGATTTTTTTCAGATCAATGATAAAAAAAGATTCATGTAATTCAATAACAAAAAAAGATTCACGTAATTGATCTCAAATAATTGAGATTTATAATTTTATTGTAGTGATTATTATGTTCATCTTAATTTTTTGGCTATACAAATGTTTTATAGATATTATTTTTTAACTATCCTGAGATCCATAAAATATTACCGTCCAATGCTCACATTCATAAAACATTATTCATCTAACAAGCTCTATAATATTCGTTAGTAGATTGAGTTGGTGTATCCTGTTCTATTATTGTTATGTATAAAAGTCAACAATATGGCTTTCAAATCCAAATACATGAGCTAAAATCCCAAGAACAACAGCAGGAGCTGCCTTTTGAGTTGTATCACTTTCACTGCCATCGAGAAAATTAACATCAAAGAGTTCAGCATCAAAATCTACTGCTTCTAATAATACATACAAAGAATAGTTGGAATCAGAAGCCACCACAAGTTCAGAATACAGGATACCATAGCAAACACAACAATCTTAATCATAATTCGATTCCAGCATTGGTTAGTTATTCTACCACAAGTAAATTAAGGTAGTCCATCTTCTTCCAGGTCATGGAAATAAAATGAGAAAAAAAAGCTTCAGATCATGGAGGGATCAGAAGCTGTGCCCCAACAATGTTTAGCTAAAAGATACCTTACTGGAGCTGGACCTAACACTGCCAATAAAATGGAAGGCTTTGAGATGTCCCCACCGATGAACCTTCACCCCCAACATGAAGTACATTTGGGAAATGTATCTCAGATTCATTAGCATCAGAGACCAGAAAAATGCCCGCATGATCGTCTTCCATCCCTGAACATGAAAACACAGATGGTGCTGTGTCGTCGGAAGCCTGCAAGTAATGTGGTAGACCACAATGGTGCAAACTTGAAGCATGAGGGTGACCTGCAGGAATCTGAACCATTTGGCCTAAGCCTGTGTTGATGCTCGGAGTTGGTGCTGACAGAAGAGAGAGAGCACAATCGGAGTCGATAGGTTCAGATGATCCATCAGAGAATATCTTGCCGCCGCTGCAGCTGTTACCGGACGGCATGAATGTCCTGAGATGTGGCTGGCCTACTGGGATTCCTAGTGTTATTTTGCTGAAGGTGGTCTTGTTCTCCTGCAAGAAAGGAAACTGCCTTCCTTCTTGGCTCCAGCTGTGGGTACTGAGAACATTATGGTTTCTGTTTGTGCCATGAGAAGGCAGGCAATGTGCATAGAGAGCAGTGTCTTCGGTCTTGACAGCTCCAGGCCAATTGGGTTCTGGTGTAGCTGTTGGAAATATTGGAGGATATGAAGAAAATGTGGCCCCTGTCCAAGAAGATGATAAGAAATTGATTCAACTCTCCTTGATCTAAATAAATATGGAAACTTGACAATATTTTTCGAAAAAATTGAAAGCATTCATATAATAGAACTTTGGAAAAAGTGGCACTCATGCAGGTGCAGATTACTGGATACAAGTGGTTCAAACATTTTATTTATTAGGATTGTTCTCAGATATTAAGACCAATGACAAATATATCATTTTAGCATTGTGTGTCTTTAAAATATTGCAGCAAGTAGTAAATAACAACATTTGTTAATGGTCAACCTGTATCTAATGAATTAGACAAAGGCTTAAACTTAGTAACTTAATATCTGGTAACAGTTCACCCGTAAAATAAATTTTAAATAAAACTATTTCTCTAATGAATGAAAAATCTCATGTAAGAAAGATCGACAGAATTGCTTAGCAGCTGGTATATTAACATACACATCATTTTAAACTGTAATGACACTATGTTTGCGTGATGAATGGGCACCAGACACACATAGTGATAGACTTAGCACCTTGATGATTTGCAAACAAGCTCCCTGAGTTTATGGAATCTGGCTGCGGTTTCCTTCGACGTCTATTATGACCTTCAAGACGTCTTCTACAGCTTCGTTTTACTTCATCAAATTCCACCAGTAAATGGAATCTGCATCAGAAACATATGAACGATAAGGACATTAAATTATTCACGAATAGAGGTGAGGCGTAAAACATTCATGGACAAACAAAGGTTAAATGGGAGGAAGCTTTGAAAATGCTAATTGAACTCAACTACACATGACTGGTAGATATGCAACTGCTCTCCTCAAACTATAACACATACTACATACAAATAAAAAAGAAGGAATGCAAACACATCAACAAGATGTAAGCAAGTGCAAATATTCGAAGAAATAACTAGACATTTGAAGAGAGCAACTTAAGGATTGATTGAAAATTAGAGTGGGCACAAAAGAGTAAAATATTCTCCTTTTATTTCACTAAATGAGAAAAAAAGGGAGGAGAAACAATTTTGTGCAAATGCAAGAACTAAAGAAAATGGCTTCAATAAAAAGTGTTTTAAGTACATGGTTAGGCATGGTCCAGATATTTGCAAGATGGAACAAGTCACTGATAACACCAATCTGCTTAGACTGAATTTAGATTGAGGGCAGAATTCAGAAAATGATTTGTGAGGATAAAGTAAAATGTTACTTGCAGACATTGTCAACTTGAACAGTGGCATGGCATCATTTTTTCCACTACAATTGATACATAAATCTATAATGTCTTATTTGGACGCGTAGTTACATAATCAATAAATTTTGAAAAAAGATATAAAATCAAAGCCCAGCCAGTATGGTTGATAGGCCTGTTTCTGTTTAAATGATATAAAATAAAAGAAACCTAGTAATGCCATTTTTATTTCTTCTGACGTTCAAAATTTGTGCAAATTTCATACCTCTAACTAATATTTGTTCAAGACTTAAAAGGAAGAACTAAGGAGACGAAAGATATCTCTAACTAATAAATCAATATAGATTTTTTCCATAAAAGATATAGTAATATCATATTAAAGGAAAAAGTTCCTGAAGAAAAATATGTTCTGATCCTTTACCATGACAAATAGACAGTTGCGGATTCCATAAGTGATATTTAGAAGGCAGTCTTGGAAAACACTTCAGATCAATCTTATCTATGAACAAGCAACAAGATGCCTAAGAATTACTTTGATGAACTGATCAAGAAAAGCAGAGACAAAGGTTATCATAAAATAGTTCAGCATCAGATGAGAGATCCTCACAATGAACATTCATAAAAGAAAGTAACTAGAAAGCAATTCGACGAGCACGTTGCGCGCACAAAACTTGGAGTAATAGAAAGGAACACATCACAAATGGCTACTGACCATGCGATTATTGGGGGAATCGGCAGCAAGAAGTTGTTGTGGTTGCATTACCTGCTGCACTGCTGGCAGAAACGCTGCTCTCGCCCACCGACCATCACCACCGGCGTCTTGGAATGGGCTTCGCAGACCTTGTGGCGCCTGTGATACTCCCTGCAACCACTCAAATCCGCCTTGCACCCGTCGACCGAGCATGACGCTTTCTGGCTGCCATTTCCAGGGTTTCGGGGAAGCCTCTTCGACGCACCAGACGAGGCCGCCATCGTCGGCACCTTAGGTTGGTCGTTCCAGCCATGTGACGGGACAAAATCTCCAGATCCCCCAAGCTTCAGATCGACCGAGCAGTCCACCTCGCTCGGCCGGCGTCCCAGGCCGCAGCCGATGCCAACGCTTGGATCGGCATCTCGGCCGAGGTCTGCTAAATCCCATAGAGGGATCTTGGAGTCCCAGTCCATCAGGGCAACCCCCCTCTCGGAACTCTTTTTCTCGCCTCCCCTGTTTCGTTACCTTACGCTGTTCTGTCTTTCCCTACTCCTACCGCTCCTTCCTCTCTCCATCCATCTTATACCGCTGTCTCCCTGTTCGTGACCGACCAACAACACAAAAAACCACCATCAAAGGAACCAGAACCACTAGAGATGGCAACTACACAAGGAGAAGAAGCAAACCCTAAGATGAATCCATGTCAAAACAGGGGAAATAGGAAGAACAGAAGAGTAGACTGAACAAAGTGAGAACAGTGGAGAAGATGGAAGGTTGGATAAAGCAGCAGCACAACCCAAAAGGCTGGGAAGAAACTGAATACCAGTCAGTGGTTGCAGAGAGCAGCAGCAGCAGCAGCAGCAGTAGACTGCTTTGGTTGGGAGCTACCCAACTACACAGTTCCTGACATGGATTCACATGTGAAGGCTCAAAGGGAAGCCAAGCTTAATATATAACATCTCTCTCTCTCTCAAATGACAGTTGTTGATGGGTGTGTTCACTGTAGGTAGGTTTGCAGCTCGTCAACATACCATACAGACTACAAACAAGATTCAACCTTTCGAGGGTGGAGAGAAGAACAGAAGGAGGTGTTCTCCATTTACTGATCTCTCCAATTACAACATGAATTGAAGGTGGCATTCCCGACATCAATGGCAGCTCTTAGACACGTAGAATCCCTACCCAGAGTGCAGAATCTTCCTGGTTGACACTTGGTTTGGACTTGGAAGTCTTATTCAACACATAGATGTTGATTTAGTGAATCCCAAAACAGCATGATTAGCTACAACCATCAACCACCGAGTCTTGACCGAAGACAGAGCAGAGTAAGTCATAGTTGTGAATCTGTTCTCTACATGAGCATGCATACGACAGAGATTCCGTTGTGTTTCTTGCTTTCTGCAATGGTCCTCAACATTTGAATGCTCGAGGATTTTTCTGGCTTTAGATAAGATTGGCCTTTACATCGGGCTCAAATTTTTGGTAATTCCATTGCAACATTGATTGCAGGGTCAGATGACTATATGAACCTACAAACTATGGGCAAGTCCATGACTTGATAAAGTCTACATATGATACAGTACTATATATATATATATAATTGCATTGATGATCGATGTTAGTCATATCATAGACTCAATGCAACGAAAAAACAAAAGGAGAAACGTGACAAAGAGGATGCTCACAAGAGGTTTCTCCGGAGAACGAATTGAGTGAATGTCCGACGCCTCTTTCCTTCCAAAAAATATCACAATCATAAGGAGAATAGAGGCAAACTCTCCCAGTTGACACTAGGATCAAAACACAGCACGTTGAGTTCTACATCGCACATCAAGGATAAAAGGATAACACCTTAGGCCTTGTTATCAGCAATGGTTGTGGTATTTTTTAATATGGTCCCTCTAAGCATGGAGAAGACAGGAAAATAAAGCATGAAGAGCATCTTAGTCATGGGTTCCACTTGACCTAGAAACAGCTTCTGGTAAATGGACCACCGTCAGGTTCAGCTGAACCTGGTACGAGGAATTATCACCAAAGAACAAAGCCAGAATATGTCACAGGAATCAAATGGACCACAATTAATGTGGATGCCATTGTCTCAGTAGTTCGTTGGATCACACCAAGCTTGTGATAGACACTGAAATAAGTGATGCATTTCGTGTTGTTTAACAAGTAAATAGCTAAACTTTAGTAGGAACATTCGTATTTGTATTTCCATAAATATTTGAAAGAAAAAGACGCAGACCATGAACCTCGAAGACAACAATTGAGTGAACTACAACTCCCATCAAGAATTCAATGACGATTCCACCTATAAATAACATCTATTTTCGTTTCATTTAACGCAGTCTGTAATACTTTTATGGTGTACTAACAGCGATCCTTTGTCCTTCAAATTAATGATGATAAAAATGCTGGTAAGAAGATCTAAGGATAAGAGTGAAGATATTAGAAGAAGCGAAGAGAGTAAAGGTTATTGACTCTGAGGAGATGATGATGGTAACTACGTAATGCCAATCCATAACACACCGAATCACAATACATCTAGTTTATTTGAACTTGAGCCTCCCACATCTCATCAACGATTCAGCAGAAACATCAGTCAAGTTTTCTACAAAAAAGAAATATTTGTACACTTAATGCAATTCATATAATTGACTATACGTAGGGGAATGGCAAGAAAGAGATGACGAGTATTGATGTTTCAGAGGCCAACCATAATGAACATGTTATCAATAACTATTTACAAATAAAGATGAAAACTGTTTCAAGCATACTACTAATAATGTTTATTTGCAATATCATCCTCCATGAATGCCCTCAAGTGCAAAGCACAGAAAACTATTTCATTTTTTCAAATTTTGTTTTGAAATACCCCCATTACGATTTTGCTTGGTCTCGATTTTAGAAAGAGTTAATGATTCGGCTGCCCAAAATTCCATAGTATAAACCTCACCAATTATTTCTGAATAGAGTATCATCCAAACAAACAAGTCATGAAGAAAAAGAACATAAAGAAATAGCCCAAAGTGGTCATACATTAACCCTCTCAGAAGGATCCAAGCATATCTAAAGGAAAAAGGAGAAATCTCCTTGGCTACACAATCCATGCTCTTTAAAAGGGACTAGTGGATTCACAAAAAAAGTTGAAAAAGATGTCACACTTACCAACCTCCTCCAATGTGTAGCATCCATTGAGAACCTACGCAAGGAAGGTAAGATTTATCACTAACTTGGATCACTATAATTGAGACAAGAGGACAGTATGCACTTCTGAAACACCACTACCTTCACACCTAGAATGTCTGATTAACCCATGCAAGGAAGCCCATAATCATCTCTAACTAAATCACTGCAATAACATGTTAGAAGTTTGAAGTAAAGAAGAAAGTGGATTATGCAGTTCAGGAAAAAGGGTCAGCAAGCATCACTTACGTTTGAAGTAAAACAAAATGTGAATGAAAACTAAAAATGTAAAAAAGGATAGGACATATGTGAAACAGGGTACAACTTGAAGACAAATTGAAGAGGGTATTCCAAATAGGGTATTAGATATGTAGAAATAAACAGACTACAACTTGAAGACAAATTGAAGAGGGTTTTAGAAATAGGACTACTGAGATACACCTCAATTTTCCAACTGACCCCACTGGAAAGAAGATGATTTCTATCAGCTAGACTGGAATCCCAAAAGACAAGAAACCAAAAAACGAACTTTCTATTAAACCCATTGATGACAAACTGAGAAGCATATTAATAATTCATGAAAAAAAACAGAAAAGTGAGCGTAATCCCCATAATAAATTATATCCATTTTTATAAGCCCAAACACAACACAAAATCCTTATATAAGTAATGCATAACTAGCAGAACCATCTTGGCAGCCACCTGGATCTAGCAAAAACATTACCATCAGGATTGCAAGATTTCATCAATATTCAAGATTCTTCACTGCATTATTAGTTGAAATGCCTTCCAAAGAGAATTAGGACAAAGCTTTATGCACTGAGATGTGTTTTAAGGACAGACATTCACTTTAAAGAGTCTAGTGCCTCTATGATCCTGATGCAGAGAAGTCATAAACCTGCAATATTTACTCAGACTTGATAGAATAAGATATGGCTTCTCAAGACTAAACATGCTGCACAATGAAGCTAGTCCTGATGATTGAATCTCACCTGGGTACCAAAATTAATCTAAGTAGAATCTTGAAAAGGGAAAACGAGAAATATTTCACACACATAAGAATGAAGTCAATCTATATGTCATGCAAGACCCAGAAGAAGAGCCAACCTAAAAGAAACTTAAAATGGGCCAAGGGTATTTCATTGATAAAAAGCAAACAAACCACTCCATATGCTACTCAACTCCATAAACCCCTCAAGATACTAGAGCTAGCAACTATATTTACTTGCATAATTGAACATATAGGCCAGACAGATTATTCAACATATTTACCGGATAATCTAAAAGCTTGATTTCAATAATGCTTTTCATACTAGATTGCACAAAATAGAGCAACTGCAACATGGCACAATTAGGCCCCTAAACAACAACAATAATAACAAAACCATAAGTCTCAATCATTTAAGGTCGGCTATATATTCTGTTAAGTTACAGAAATTTAGATCTTTATTTATAGTTTCTATAAACTTCTTTTTAGATGATCTTCATCTACCTCTCGTCATACTACTAAGCATTTCACCTCTTCTAACTACTGCATTTGTAGGTCTCCAGAGCACATGTTCATCCCATCTTAAACAATTTTCTCTCATTTTATTCTCCATCAAAATGAAACATAATTATTCATGACTAAAGTATTATTTCACCTATCTTTAACTCCATATACTCGCCTCAACATTATCATTTCAGCAACATAAACTTTTTGTATATATTGTGATCCTTTATGTATCGTGCAATACCTTTAACAAAACAAATTCTATCTGACATTCATACAATTCAAGAAGACTTTGTATCACCACATGCCATATAGACCAACAATTGACATGCACCCTGATGTTCGCAATCTATTTTTCATGCAAATATAAGTTGTCAATTTCATCCCATATTTAGCGCTCATATAAGTGTTCTTGTTATGTCTACAAAGACAACCACAGATATCTGGAAAGACATACTAGAAAATTACTAAGTCAACAGAAACAGAGTTCTGTGGATGCTATTTAATGCTAATTGGTAGTACAATCATCCTACAAAGAATGACTTATAAACTGGTATCACCTCCTAGATTCCATGGCACAAAAAGGCCTAAAGGAGATGCTAGTCTATGTCTAAACCGATACACATATTAAACATGAAACAAACACATGGCCTAGTAAATTCTGAGAAAGCCAGAGCTCCAAAATATAAAGTAATATAACAAAATGTAAATACCATAAACCAGAACTTGATATGTCAACGATAGAAAATAGAAGACCAGCCAAAAAAAAAACCTAATAAATTAAACTCTACTTGTAAGAGAATTTTGTCAGCTACCGTTATGTTAGACTGCAACTCTCAACTATGACCATACAACTTAATCAGAAACTGCCACAAATAATCCGAATCCCTGTTTTTTCAAGTCTTATGCATTAAACATATTGGTACAGGCCTTCTTGACCATGGACACAAGATTTTCCACCTAAAACTGCAATACAAAATAAGAGTTGACAGATAGAGGAAGAACATTGTGAATATAGATAGTCCTTGATGTCCTCATCTTCCCTTCAGTATAGGACAATTCCTAGTTAGTGCAACTTTCCAAACAAGGGAAAAAGAATCATAAGCTCACTGAATTCTACAATGCTATCTATGCCTGCAAACAATTTTCTTGTACCCAACACCTCTCCACATACATAGTCTGTCTTGAGTCCTCCCCAAAATATCCCCACCATATTATTACCAAAAAAATAAAGCACCGCTATTTAAATTCGTCAACAAACCTCTAATGCTGTGATGTCATCATACACCATTTAACTACAAAAAGATTATCTCAGTACATGTTATTGTGCAAAACGCACCAAGCAACTAATGAGAATTTTATTAATAAATGTTTGACAACTGAAACCTTCAACTTTTATAATCTAAAATATATAACCTACATATGAGTGCAGCCTAAGGGACACTATTTTGCAAAACTTGGGTCTTGAAACCAAATTACATGTAACAGATTCCACAAGAGAGATATTTAGGTAAAATATTCTTATTAAATAACCTAAAAGCTGACGTGCAACCTTGATTTAGCCAAGTATCTGCACTTGAGTGTATAAAGAGTCATCAAGAGAAGTATGGTCAGCAAATCATTAGCATAAAGGCATGGTATCACCATCACCAACCAACAGTAATATCAGCTGTGGAGTCTATATAGTCCACACAGAAAAACTGAGACAGTACCAGTGAAATTGTTGGTGCCTCATGACAAGCAATTACTAACTCATATCATCAATGCTTCCCAACCAGTAACCTGATGCACCTTTATAAACAACTTAGGTAACTGATCTTCTGCTGTGTCACATAAAAACTTGAAAGCATATTAGGTAAGTGATTAAAAATAATCTGACAAACAATCAATTGAATAAACTAGTAATACCCATAAATTTGCATGCTGAACGGAGGATGCCCTTACAGATGACAGGAGGACCTGCACTGGATTTGACTATGTGCAACACATCAGGCAGCTTCAATAGAAGTGGTCTCAGAGATGTAGGAAAAAGAAAGAGTCCAACAATAGCAATTAAGTTCACCAGGTAAACTATAAAGACTACTGAAGACAAACAAATGATTAGTCCCAGATGCAAATTTGAACATCACAAATTTATCAAAAAAGGTATTTCTGAAGCTGTCATATAAGAAACAGACATAGAAGAAACTAGGATAATTGCACGAGTGCCCTCCATAATGCATATAGAACCATTGTCCTGCTGGATAAGAGCACGGTTAGGCAAAAGAGAAATCAATTACAAAGTTTTCTTGATCCATCCAATATGCTAAGCCCATCTAGCCCGGTGGTCTCTGCAATTATCAGTACACTACAGCAAGATTAACATGTGAGTTCCAAACGTCCAACTAGTTGAAGTCATAGCAATAGAAATAAATCAGGACTTTAGCTCCAAGAAACCACAAGCCTGCCAAAACACATTGAATGTCAGTTGAGAAAAAAATCCAACAGATAGATGCATAATGGAGTGGTCACGATAACAAATGCAGCATTACACAACAACAACAACAAAAATAAGGGCAACAATTCTCTCCACAAAGCCCTTTGCCAAGAGTCTTTCCTGCTAATTTAGGGGAAAATAAATCATCATCAAATTGAACAAATATATATAATCTTTGTAAAATGTAGCGAAAGAAACATTTGTCTTTCTCCACACTAGTTCAACACAATGGATATCAAACAGGGTCCTCAACTACCTTCAAAATTATATAAGTAACAAGAACAATAAAGACCAGAAACTACTTAATCAATCTTTTTTTTTCCGTATATGGTCCACAACTGTTCATTATCATACTTATCAACAAACATACTAATGATTCCCCATATTTGTACACATGATCTTAATATTCATACCTACTACAATCCAAAACATTAATAAAACCATCAAGTAGACAGACATATATATATATATATATATATATATATATGTATGCGCATGAACATTCCAATAGACCTTTAACACAAAAGAAGGTTACACATCATCAGACAAATTCAAAACCAGTGATGCACAGACATTAAAATTACAGAATCTAAATGCAGGTAGACTGACTGATTTTCGAGATGGGAAGAATGAGTGTCTATAATTATCAAATTAAATATATAATCATGATGACAAAACAAAGAGAAAATGTCGAGAGTGATTACAACCAAAGCAAGTATGTTATACATGACATGCATATATTCTTCAAGATGGAAAAAACAAGACATGACTATCTACTATAATAAAATCAAATATACAATTTTGGTGATATAACAAAGTGGAGAATGTTGAAAGCAAGGTATACAGTTTCGAATAATACCGTCGGTACAGGCAGTGTGTACCGGTCCGTTACCAGCTGATCGATACACAGACCGTC